CTAGCTGTAAGAAGAAAATGCACGAATATGATTAAGAATGGTAGGTTTTTTCGTTTCTGTGAGAACGGCCCGCTCTTCGTCCGTCAAATGCTGTGGATGAATACGTTGGCGGCTGCGTAACATTGCGCCCTTTCTCCAGATGCGGTTTGAAACACTGTTGACCTCGCTTGGGTATTTCTTACTTGTTCTAAAGCGAGGATTAGAGGAAAATCGACAGAGTAATCAATATCAAACAGCTGGCATAGTTTGAAAATGTTTGTGATCCGATACTGTCTGAATGGACTATTCGAAATACAAGTTTCATTGAATTGTAATATAGAGATAGAGCAAGCCTAGGCACAATCGTTTCCTCTAGCTAACCTGGAACATTTAGATCGCAAACGTCAAGCACAAAACTTGCTCGAAGATGTTGTATCGGATCAACGAGGTAGTCGTTCCGCTGTAGAATCGGCCTGAATGTATACTATTCGGTAAATGTGCCGACGTTGAGTTTTTACTTTTACTTCAGTCACATGAAAAACATCACATAAGAAATTTTGCACATATTTCGTTGAAGGCAGCACGATTTTCGAATTAAAGTCACGTCTGGGACGTAAAGGCAATCCCAGTTATCGGTAAAGAGGCAGTAGGTCGAAGCTCTGCAAAACATCACTTTGCGAATACTGTAGTTTTAAAGTTCCACTGACACGTATTGTTTTGTCCGATATTCTTATAGTGAGACTCAAAGAGAGGCCAATCGAGTGAAATATTTTTAAAATCTTTCATTATATATATATTCAAATCTTTCTATATATATATGTATATATACGTATATATATGTAGTTTAGTAACATCCACTATTTCGACTTTGGAGAGCTGGGTTTCGACTTCATAATAATTTTGCCATGAAAGTCAATGAACTGATGATATTCATTTATATTTTTATAAAAATACCCAAGTAATTTGGTAACCAAATATTACATTCCTACATGGCTATTGTAGCATAAGACATAACTGAAGAATATCGAATATCTTCCAGATGTTAACTAGGAAGGCGTGGCAAGTTGATCAGCTACGTTCGATGTGCGAGCTGGGAATGTTTGATGATGCCTGCAGATAATGGTCATTCAAATATTGCGTCTGCTATTGTTTGTGTCTGTATGATTCCCGTCGTGTCAACGATGCGCGGTCTTTTCTGAAGGTATAGAGGTGTGAGCAGGTGATGGAGGTGCCACAATCGTACCAAGTATTTCATCATGAGATTATTTCAAGAATAAGACACATCTAACGTAATGTCCCTCTGTTGGAAAATGACGCCCATTTGTAAACCGAAATTAAGGAGTAAACTATATCTCGTCTGTAGTAAAGGCTCTCAACTTTACGTTGTAACTGAACGTTGCTTGATCAGCACTGAAGATTAGTTTCCATCTTTTGTCATATTTCTATGTAAAAAAAAAAAACAAGTATTCCACTACTTCTAGACGTTTCAGATTATTAGCTACAAGATAGCGTAATCAAGGCTGGAAGAATATATACTTTTTAGAGCAAAAATTCTATCACACCAACAAGGATCTTATTTAGAACGATTGGATGAGATGCAGCTTTAGCGCGCGCTGTTTCAACTAAATGTGAGTCCATTACGCATAGCTATCGAACAAAATGATTTGACACTTATCTGTAGGATAGTTACTATAAACATATATGTATACGTAATTTATTTTATCCTAAAAAACTGGTAATTTTAAAATTATTATTATATATAGAAAACAATAGGCATTTTATTTGAAAGTTGCTGACTTGTTGTATTTAATTTGCTCAATCTTCATTGTTTTTTTTTATGGATTGTGTGAATCATTCGGTTGAGTCGTTTAACTAAATGGGGCGTTAGCGTAACCTTTGTTAGGTATGTGAGTTGGGCTGTGTGTTTTATCCAGCGTAGAATATGTCAAATAGTGAGCGGTCACAAGTGAAGAGCAGGCATTTTTATGGTCTTTTCGCCTTTGTGGCGTACTTAAGTCTTTCGACTTTTGGGCATTACCGACCTTCAGGCCTTGATCGGGCGAGAGAGTGCTAACGACCTAAAACCAGGCTGTCGTACGTGTTGCTTAGCGAAGTACTCATGTGCATTGACCTATATAGGAGTCCAGACCTACGCACAGGCTGTTGTGGTCTGCGGGTCCGCAATTGCTTTTAACACTGGCTTTTGATAAAACGGCTACTGCCGTTTTATTCGCTTCGTATACAGTGTTAAGTACAAAGTAGTGCCAGCCGAACGACCCTCGAAACCGGGCCGGGCCCTGATTAAATCAATTTTTAGATCTTGCCCACAGTCTGCTTCATAAAAAAACCATATCGCTTTGCTGAAGGTGTTAGCCAACCCATTAGAAATAATGCTGTCAAGTGTTTCGCCAACTCTGGGCTTCAATTTACAATTTTAAAATTAATTTGGTGCTTAGCATTGAGTGAGGGTGAAGTTAAACAACACGAAACGGAATATGTCGGCATACTGCATAGTCTGTATGATGAGCCTGAACGCCGTAAACAACCCGTAGAAAATGGTAGTATAATGAGCTGAATAAAAAAAAATTTGTGAAATGTTAGGTACATTGGTAAGAGTTCTTATTATATCATGCTATCTACTTCCTAGTTTGGTCAATTCGACTTAAATTTAAGCCCTATAATTATAGCGATGCAGTTGACGATACACAGTGTAAAATTCAGAATCACTTACTAATAATGATGGTTAATGACTTCATGCTTTTCAGTCTTTTTCCTAAAGTGATTTTCATCCAGCTTTGATCATCAATTAACCACTAACCGTGCGGCACCATTGGTAGCTAAAATTTTCATTTAAATTTTAAATAGTAACTCCGATATTTTTTCACTGTCATACCTCAAAGATTAAACGCTCCTGTGGCCGGTTTTGGAGCTAACAAACTTGCAACGGAACGGCATATCGAATTAGAATAGTTTAGATGAACGCGAGAGTTAGAAAGAAGTTTGTACAAATCAAGAGCCGTTGACCCAGTACAGGGCTAATCCCCTCCCCAAAACCCATATCGCCGCCCCAAACGCAATTCCTGCTTTCGACTTCGTCAGTGTTTTCTAAATAATCACAAAATCGATACTATGCTGTGCCATCATATGGGCAAAGTAACCGAAAAGTTATTTTGGTTCAGACTGACTTTTTTTTGGTCTAGATATATGCGTATGGATGCGCATCTTTACGGAAAAATTGATATTTATCAGTTTTGCTCACACCAAAAAACTTCTGTACTACATTGTGATCTAGACGGGACACAATTTTCTTAATATATACAATTTGACAGGCAACCGTTGCCATCCCATTTGTTACAGAAATTAGTACCTTTGCTTTAAAATGTATGTTCATGACTACGAATTAACATGTATTTATATGTTGGTATTACAAGGTATTGCGTTGGATATGCATATTGGAGTTTAATTTACTCAACGCTTATTTGAAAAGTAGATTTAATCATTAGACTATTTTAAAACGATGACGTGGAAAGACACACCTCAAAACAGCCTCTATTCCTTTATTATATAATAGAAAAACGTTATTATACAATAAGATAACAGATCCCTATTATGTAGCAGCATAGCCCAGTGCATTCTTAGTCACGATTTCGATGGATATGCTTCTTAGAAAACGGACAGGTTCTAAGGACATAAATTCATCCTATCGCGTTGGATACGCTAACTTTCATCATCAACACTCTGGGAAACATCACTGTAACTCACTGTCTTGCATTGGGAAACCAACCATAGAAGGAAAAGTAAACGTAGTGCATTCAATGTATCTGCAAGTTCCGAAGTTTATTTATCGTAAGAAGCCGCCTGTTTCGTTTTGCCTTTATCGCCATCTCTTCTTCAGGTCTGGCAAGTGATAATGTTAAGAGACCTTCGTACATCCACTATGTGATAGCCCGTTCCCGAGCTGCCGTTATCGAAAAGCTTCAAGCAAATGAATCTTTCTATTATTCTCAAAACTAACTAAAATCATTAAAGTATCATACCTGTGGGATTTAGCCGAATTCTAGGTCTAAAGACATACTCGGATTATCCAGCTGTCTTCATATTGGGCCGAACTGTTGGTACGGGTGCTACCCTTGTTCTATATTTTTGTAAACAGCCTTTGAACACCTCTCTTCTTCGCTTTTTCATACAGTCACTTAAAACAACGTGCATGACGTGCCTGAACAGCAGGGTCCCATGTACATAGTCGGCGACACGTTGACGCTGTGAGTGGCCACATGCTGAGTGGGACGAAAAATAGTCAGCAAGACGATCATATTCACATTTTCTTCATCACATAATTAATACACTAATATAGAACATACGCATCTGCTTGCGTTTCGCTACGAATTAAGCGGAACGTCAGAAAAAAGCAACCAGACTGTGCCCGGTAAAAGTGAAGATGGCAATACTCAAATGCCCATTAACGACGAAGTCTTACCCATTTGAGACACCTTGTAGCGATCGAATGTTTACGCATTACACGTTCATTGCGTTTAGTCATAAGTACTAATATATAATAATTAATTAGCGTATAATTAGCGGCACAAGTATTAGAGTGTAAGTGTAAGTTTTCTCAGCTAGCGTAAGGTGAGTGCGACGCGACGGAGGTAGTCTGTCGCGTCCCTTTCTTCTCGAAGACATTACTCCATGGCAAAGGCTGCGTCTTCATCAAAAAGTGATAACATGACGACTTTATTTTAACGCGTGGAGTGTTAACTGTACAGTTCGTGTGTAAAGCCTACATTGATACTACCGGTTATCCTGCGTGAGGTAATTCAAAGGCTTGTATTAAAAGAATACTCATAAGAATATATATCAGAAATTATTAAAGATGCCTTTTATTTTCAATTGTCGGTCCGCGAACAGACCAATGGTCGCCAGATAATCATTACGGTAGACAGATACCGGTTTGAATCATGTTTGATGCCTTACGGTTTTTCTCCATTTGTCTCGGTACATTCGCCAATGACAGGAACATTTCGATATACGCCCTATAAAATACAGAATCCCGAAAAACATTCGACGTTTTAAGATCCCTTTATGGCCCATATCTGACCAGCTACAGAAACAAAATGTGCAAAGAGCGCGAGAGAAGTGCTTGCAGTTTCGTAGATATCCAGTGATGAAACATTTCGCTCAAGGTCACATAATTATTCATTGTTGCTTGTAGATACTACGAAAAATTCGCGATATCCCTAGCAATTAGTGATAGCAATAATTGTTATTGTGCGAAATTTCTTGGCTTGCACCTACGCTGCCTATGTCTGCTTGTATTTTCCTATTTTTCATGGGAGAAGCCACATGTACAGCTCAGCATGTAGAGCTCATTCGACTCTTAGCACGTTTTTATGCGTGTACTTCAAATCTTTCTGTGGTTCTTCCTGCTGTAATTCTCACAGTGGAGAAAGAGTGAATGATCCTAGACGAGAGTCCTTCCAGATCGCCGACCCTTACTGATTTTTGGCTCTGTAAGTGAAATTCTTGATCGTAGTCGTCATCTGCGAGAGTTGAGAACGACATTATACAGTACCGTCAACAGCAGTGAGTCTTTAGGCGATGGAGCTGATTCTGTAGCTCGATCGCGGGTCTGGATTTATCGCCGCCATCGTAGCATCATCGTTAATAATACCAGTAGCGTATAACACTGACCCCGCCAGCGCCCTCAGCGGGTCAATGCGATCGCGAAAAAAAAAAGAAAGTATGAAAAATCAACCACCCATGAGCCGTCAGAGGCAGCAACAAAATCGAGCTTCAGAAACGCCGCGCTGCGTCAGATTGGGCGGCGGTGACTGCCGGAGCTCTAAACAAGGAAAACAGCTCTCTAAGATATCGCAATTTTCATACGATCACACCAGCGACAACAGTCGAAAAGCTAGTGCCCAGTGATGGTCAACGCGAACAGCAGAAAAAACGCCGTAGCATGGAAACATACGGCACCCTCACAGCGCCGATGGCCGCAGCGGTAATGGCAAATGTTTTAGACTCGATAACGGCCGGCTTCGCTCTCATCTTTAATAGCCGCCAACAACTTGTTTTTACCTGTTCAACGGCTACCCTAGTCGGTGCCATTACCGATGTTGATTTCTTCAAAGTTAATTAATTTCGCTGTTCGCTGCCCCCATACAACGTCAACGTTCACAAGCAGCAGCAGTAACGATTGCAGACGCTTCGGCCGCCCAGTAGACACTCTATAGTCTATAAATGTAGCTCGACTGCGTCAAATTGTCCGGCAAACGAAATAAGTTTTGAATACATGTGAATCTATTGGTTTGCTATGCCCTATTATGAGGGTATAGGACTCTTTTTTTCGAAAGACGAAGCAGAAATACCAGCCATCGCCATCAGCGGCATCCTATCCAGATAGAACCGGCAACGTGAATGCTGCTCGCGAGATGCATGCTTCGGTCGTACAATCGGTTTGCCATATTGTCCAGTTCAGCTCTAGTGTGTATTTGTGATCAGTTTCCGTAGCACTTGCCAATCGAAACGAAACAAGTAGCCTGTCACGATCGCCTATAACACATAAGAGTGGATGAGGTAAACGGTAAGACGAGGGTGATGATAACAAGTATTTTTAGAAGAGAGCAAGGTGTTTAATGTACATTTGACAAACGGTATGTGAAGTGTATGTATATGCAAGAAAGATGAAGAAATTATTACCTTCGGACGCCATCATCAAGCCCTACGATCGGAATAGAATCTCAAGCTTTCCATACGTATGTGAACAGGTTAAATACGGCTATATTTATCGTGGAATTTTGCCTTGAAATGTAATTTTAATCTGTGTGCAATAATGTGTATTGTACATGTACACACTAGATCCGTTACGACACTGCCTTGTCACCCCTCCCAGTCAAACTCAAAGCGAGTCTGAACCTGCCTCCAGATCTATTCCAAGATGAAGTCAACTATTCTACTATATTGAGGTGATTCGTATTATCCTGCAGCACTTTCTAGCGCAGTTTTTTTTAATTACTTTATTTTAGTGTGTATCATGTATTATTCAAGTCATTACCAACCCACTACTTTGTCTTAGTAACTCAATCAAATTTCTCCACTAACTTCGTTACTTTGCTTCAATGTCCCAGTTTAATAATACCGATCCAGATGTTCTGCCATGTCCCCGTGATAGCTTAATGGGGGAATTTCTTGTGTGCTCATTTCAGGGGCACGTTGTGGTGTAGGTTCAAATCCGGAAACAGGCACTCTTTATGTTGCGGCAGGACACGGGCGTCTGATGGAATGAATCGAACATACAATTCGAAAGATAGAGATGCGTGTTCCAGCCACCCTGTCACCGACAAAATGTGTTGGTTTTTTACACTTCGATTGAAAAGAAATAGCCACTGTGCCACCGTTCAGTCGTTACCTTTTGTGATTACTTCATTATCTCTAACCTAAACGAAGTCTATACGTTTGAATCGCTTGGGGAACCGAGAGAATTGGTGACGCTATGAGTGCGAGACAAACATTTTCTATATGGTTGCTGTTGGACCTCACAGAACGAATGTTTCTCACACTGTTATTTCTAGAGCAGCGTACCGTCTAAATACTTTCGTTTGATTATACTATTCATTACAAACAATAATTAATACTGTTTATCGTTGACGGCATAAGACAGTGCTATTTGAACGTGGCGGGTTGGGCGAGTCTAGAGCTACACACTTGCACATTTGAAATCTCCCGCCTAATCAACACAGACACTCTCAGGCAAGTGCGAAATACCTGCAGAATCCATACATTTGTATAAAATTATCAAAACACGACAACACAATGGGCAGCATTTAGTGCCGTTGATATTTCCAGACATTTCTCTATGAAAGCATCTTTGTTAACCTCTTAATAGTTGCCTGACACGCGCAATCACTTCTGGATAAAGGTGTGGCCATTCTGTGAGAAATTAGAGATTAATAAGCTGGGCGTCGGAAGTCGAATGCTTCTTGGAATACGGACAGACCGGTACTATAGATAGTATTATTATTATTGGTATTTTTGTATTGGAATGACCGTACAAGATATAAGCGACATGATACATTGTGACGAACTCCAGTGTTTGCTGTAAAGATCGGCGAGTTTGAATAACTTCTGATGTTGAAGCGGGGTCTTATGACAGCTTGCTGATCATTAGCGTTAGAACAAGGACAGTCATTAGGCACGATGCATATATACATATATGTTCGTTCAATGAGCACCTGCGAGCATCGTTGAAATAACGGCATATGATAGAATATCAGGAAGCAATGTATGGCTAAATCTAATATCGGCACTGTCCAAGAGAACCAACTCAGCTTTGAGTATGACACAGCGTTCAAGGTATTGCTGCTTCTCAGTGTATCTAGATTTCAAGAATCTCTACGTACCGGAAATGCATTTCATGGGTCTATGGATGTTGTAGGAATGGGGCGCGTGTTTTGAAAGGTTGTCAGACGACTTTGACATCCTGAAAAGAGTTATGCATTTCTAACTGCGGCAAACTGCGTCAGTCGACTTGTAAACTCTGTTTTAACTCCGCTTGACTTGGTGATTTTCGAGTATCTTGAAGCTATTCAAAGGCTTTGGAGCTTACCTTTCAATTCACCCATATCCAAAACGAGGTGGCGTCCACATTGCCTCTTTGGCGCTTTCGACGTTATGTATTTATCCAGTGATACAGTCTCTTACGTGGGGTCTAGTGTTTGTAGATTATATAGGCTAGAGTGGGAGGTCCTTGCCTAGTGTTGTTGTGAGCTAGGAAATCGCCTTTGAATACACGGTGCAACAAGCAAAAGTGCGTTTAAGTAACGGCAAGTCAGTACAGTTACCGAATCTAAACATACTCGTTCAGTAATATCGTGGATATAATAGCTATATATTAACAAAAGGACGATGAAATGAATTCCAGGTCATTTCCCTATTCTACGACCTCCCACAGTAGTGTTGCACGAATATTATAAGTTTGCTTCAAGCGAGGCATCTGCCACTTGCTGAAGACACACCTGTTTTGTATAGGCTTCAACGACTCTGCTGTGACGGACAACTGAGCGCAATAAATGTAGCATTGTCCTTGTGCCCAAACAGTAAACGCTTTTTGCTTGTTGCGTATTGCCACGAACGGTCCTTACTTTGCGACTAGCTCTGCCGAATGATCAAAGGACATACGGTTCGCCTGGAAACGTAAAACATAATGACATGAATTACAATTTCATTGGAATACGATGAGCGGCGGCTTTACGTGGTAATCTGTAGGAATGCTACTCCGCCGCAGCCTATTTCTAGCCCAAAAAAATAGTTCGAATGTTTCTTGTACACCAGCTTATACATCTCGGATAAGTTATATCGACATCGGGAAATAGGCTTTTTAAATATACGCGTATCTTAATTTTGCACTGATGAAGCTAATGAAAATAATCTGTGTGTATGTTTACAGCACATTAAATTTTTTTTTGTATGTACTTTTCTCGGAACTCGAGCAACATGTGTTTGTCATTAAGATTACCTTAAACTCCCTCTGCACCTAAATACCAACAAGATGGCAACTTATAGCTAAGTATTTGATTAAAATAGATTGACTAACGATTCGATGTAACATTATGAAACTAGCTGGGCGTATTATCAATAGAAAATAACCGTGTTTAAACGTTGTTGACTATTGAAGGCCGACAGTGCGTGGAGGACTGTAAATTAACCCATGTAAACTTTTCCGTACTTATCCGCTAATATGAAAATCTTGACCATTTGCAAAAGTTTTGATATCTTCTACTCAAACAGTTAACAGGGGCGGAAAATGTGCATGTATACCACATCAATTAAGTACGCAGAAAGATGTCTACTCCATTACGCCCTCCGAAAAGTGGCATTGAACCTTACATTTGATACACTTTGTCAAGTGATAATATTTATATTTCACCATTAGTTAGCTGATAGTAAACCTCAGAAAGTATCTCAGTACAGTTTATTCTGCGTTTAGTTAACCTTAACTATAGGCCAAACCGATACACGGTTATACAAATCGGCTTCGATGTACGTAGTGCTACAGAGAAACCATAAAATAGTCTCTCTAGTTACAGACGATCACTGATCACAGTTGTATGGCGTCACGCATAACTATTTTTGCCCAATTCATCGAATGTTTACGATTTTTCTGTATAAAACTAACCAAAATGCCTCTAAAAAGGTCTTGAAAATAACTAATATATATACATATATATATATATATATATCTTTTATATTATTTAGTCAGTCTATTTTTAATGTTCGGCTTGTTGTTTCAACGTACTGGGCGTTGTCTAATGAAAGATTTTCATTATCGCCTTTGATGAATTTGCAAATGTTCGCAAGCTCAAGACTAGAAAGAGAAATGAAATCATGCTAAAACATTTGATCGAAAAACACACAGCAATTTTTCTCAGAATTGAACATCATCAGTTAACGATAATATATGAGAGAGAGAAAGAGAGAGAGCTTCTACCAATGCGGTTGGGCTAGTGAATCATATTGCAATACAAGTCCAATAAAATATAGGAAATAAGCTTACTTTCGCTCAAACTTAAAACGAGTTAACGAACTGTAGACCACCGCGTTACGTTAACGTTGTCAATATCAAAATGTAATTGTTTTTAAATTTACTGTACGTTTACGTTTCAGGCTTTTGGTATCTATCGCGAAAAAACAGGGAGCTTTAAACTTTGAGCAAGTTTAAGGACCAAGTGCCCTTGTATAGCCCGGATGGCCCGTGCGAAAATAGAAGGCCACGTTACAACATCTAAGTGCTCCTTAATTATAATATATCACATTGAATTGAAACAAATAACCGGTACACAGGACGTCAAACATTTGAATAAACAGCGTTTTTTCTTGTAAGCTATGCTCTTAGTCTAGACTATGGATGTTTGTTTTTCTGCATTTTTGAATCGTTTGCGAAGAGAGAGAACTTCCACAGTTAGTTTTGAATATCCCTAGAATATGTGGTAATATTGTGTATCGGTTTTACTTACGTACTGTGTGACAGCGACTACTGTTCAATGAAGGAAATGGCCCCGACTAGTTACAATTGTTACTGACTATATCAATGCACTAGATTACAAATTACGACTGCCTTGCTCGGGTTTACTACCAAAATCGTACTTTCGGATCATAGCTATTCACTTTCAGTCGAATAATACTGACTACTGATAAGGGTGTATTATAATGAGGACGTCAATTATATTTTCCGCTGTTACGAAAACTCGCTCGACCAGTACCTTGTGAACTATTTTCTTCATTCAGCTCAAACTGTTGTACGTAAAGGTCATCGCCGCATAGATCTGGCACACTGATGATGGTCTGTTCGTGAACATCTAGTTGAGGCTGTCACAGGTATAGTTTGTGAAGGCATTTCTTACTAAACTGTATGCGTTATTCATTCTAGCCGTAAGCAACAGAGTCTTTTTGGCATTTTCGTACAACTAAGCTACGTTTGTGCTTGTCTCATCTCTGTATATATAGTATATGTAATAAATACCGTAAACAGTTGGAAATGTTGGATGATAATGACTAATGCGCAGTTTGTGTATAAGTAGTCGTACACGACGATTTTCCAAACGGTACAGTTTCACGTAATCGTTCTGGACATATTTTGACGTGTCTGGATATTTTCAGAGAATCACTTTTTGTGCGCAACAGTGGATTGTATCTAAGCGAACTCCTTCTGTTAGCCCTGTTTGTACCATCATATGATGAGAGTTGTCTGCAAAGAGCGTCGCAAATCCAAGCCAACTTGGAAGCAACTTATACACTGATGGAAAGTTAACTGTTTAGGCAGCAACTTACTATCTCCTATTTATATTTGTTTTAAGTTATTCATGTTTGTGATAAGTTTTATATTCATCGAGTACGAACGTTGCCTTTAGCTAGATCTACTGGTTCGATTTGTTTAGTTTCGATTGTTTTGCGTCCACCGAAAAATTGCAGACTCTTTGTGTAATTCTTTGATACACTAATCGCATCGATAGACCTCTACGGAATTCGTTACATGTAACATAAGAAAAACATAGGGATTAGTACTGGATCACTTAGCTTAATGAATTCTAGTTGGGTGTTGTTATTTCATTGATTACTGCTTATCTGGGCATAAAGTACCCTATAATTATATTATGATGGTAAATTGTATGTTGGCTAGACTTTTTCGATATACGATGATTTGGCTCTTCGTAGATGAAGTTCCGCGACAATAAATTTCATGCAGATCAGAATTTGACGTCGCCTGTCACATCAGGATCAGACTTGCTATGCCAATAGTTACCTTCTTTGTATAATATGAGCATATTGAAGATATTTCAATATAGGCTGACACTGTTTGCTATTTTCGTGCGTTAAATTTCGCAGCCGTTTAGAAAGTGTACGTAATAACCTATCAAACTATATTAGCGAATAGTTTTTGTTCAAGTGCTACATGGCAATAAATGTGTTCATAATGATTTTATTGAACATTCTTCATGATCATGAAATATATCGCCTTCTTCCGGTTTACTTAAGTGGTCAGTCACCGTTACAATGAAAACCTGACTGGCAAAAACTAAAGAGAAACTCCCGACTATTATTTTTATGTATATGGAGACGGATGTCACAGTTACAAAATATTTCCTATCAGGAACCGACATTGACGATAGAGCCGTTTCAAGATCGCTACGGCAGCATAAAGAAATTTGCTCGTCTTTCTATGACACATTGGCCCGCAGTTACTGGCAGTTCGTGCTGGTTCTTTGCAACAACCCAAGCACGTGGTTTTAATTGAAAATTGATAATAATCAAAGTCGATAAACCAGAACCTTAACATGAATCATGTAGCCGATTTTTGTTGTTTCGCCAAAGTATCGTTGTCGATCGTGTCGGAAAAAGATTTTGTAATGTACGGCAAACTTTTCTTTTGCCTTCGCAACAGACTAATGATTCTCAGATATCAATGTTCTAAAAGATTTCCTCACTTTTACTTAGCATAGAGCTCGTTTAGCCACTGTTCAGCTTAAACTCTAGGGCATTTGTCAGAAAAAAACAGTGCATCGTATAAGCATAACGTAAGCAATTTCTTCCTCGTTCTACAGAAAATCCCTTGGGTAAACCGTTACGTGACCACTCACGTGACGTCAGATCATTAATTGATTCGGATCGCATAAAAGTGTACTGCCCGGACGCGACGATACAAATCGTTAATTATATGCAAAAATTACAAATACAGGCAGTGGAATGGAGTAGTTCACCGTCTTGTTCACTATACCTGTTTACCAAAAAAGTACTTTTACAGTAAAAGTTTTATCCCAGATTAGAAATCACCTGTACAAATGTATTTAATGAATCTGTTAAATACAGTTGCGCAGGGAATTTGATGCAATTTTCGATTTGATCATCGTAAAGTATGCGATATGTTTTGAGTGAACCATAATCACCAACTTTGTCTCTGTTCTTCTTGAAACACATTAGAGTGCCCATCCTAACAACAAAGAGATGTCATCGTAAATATTCCACAGATGTATGCTTACATATATCTATCCAAAAAGTGTTAGCCATGTAAATACGGGTGTGCTAGGACAGTTCCTTGAAGTTCTACAGTCTGCCAGAAACGATACTGAAGTCATTAACTAATAAACAGCTTTGATCAGTAAGAACATGCACTGATACCGAGTGACAAACATGTTACGCAAAAAAACCGAATAGTTGAATAACTCGCTGCACCATTTTACTTTAGTTATGTACTTTAATTAATAAAAGATTAGAATTAATATTCTAACGATAAACGGGCGCGGCAATGTACATAGAACTGTTTTTTTTTCATAACGAATCCATTTACTGCCCGGACGACTATCGGTTTCTGATTGAATTTCTCTTTCCAAACATTGAAGGCTACCGCCTAAAATATGAACATACGGTAAATGCTGTAGAGCTGCCTGCGTGGGCAGAGATTCTATGGTTAAGTTTAGCAGTCTTCGAAAGCGCCATAGGCATAAATATCTATAGAACCACTCCGTTTTTGTCGGCCCACAGATTCAAGCCTATTGATAAAATAAGTAAAAGCACACTGATTCCATCTAATTAATTTTGTCTGCACACAATAATAAAAATCGCCGCCTGGCATATGGAACGAAATGTGATGGGCGATCATGGATCATAGAATGACAACGCAGAGACGTGTTCATTGTTATTCACTCTGTGCAGTAGGGAAAATGTGTTGGAAATTTCGTAACATTAGTCACAAGCATGGAGCGCTGTCCTCTCGAACGGCTGTCATCCGATTTGCGGAACTCTCGCACTGCTGCTATAGGATGACAACCTCTCTGCTTACCAGCCGTGCGACCCTATTTTTTTGATGTATTTCTGAAAAATCAGTATTAGTGCTTAAGTTAAGTTTCCTACGAAAGCTCTAATGGTCTTTTGTGGTTTTTTTTTTTTCAATTTTTCACGTGTGTTGCCATTTTTTTTTTGAAAAACAAAGAAATAAACAAGTTTTACCTATGTAGGATGTTCTCATTACCGATAAAGCGATAAATTATAGAAGAAGGCTTCCTTGGGGGGATATACGGCATTGGCTGTGTTATGATGTCACTGACTGCACTTGTTCTATGAACATCTGTCATTTTTCCTCCCGTTGGTTTTTGAAGAAAAATTATGGTTATATTATCTGGTTAGTATATGAAATGTTACCATTCTGTTAAAATTAAGTTGCGAATCATCGACTCACAACAGAGTTACAAGGGGTAGTTTTTTTCAGAAACCGCTTATCCATTACATGCCCGCTGTCCGTATATCCGTGCAACGGCACTGCAGAATTAGACACATCTTGCGTGTTAGCTGCAACAAAAGAACACTTGAAAATATATCCGAGACAACAACGTCAATATGTTCAACCTAACACAGAAAAAAAAGATGTGAGCTGATTTGATGGGCAGTTTATAGTAAGACCGATCACCTTTTTCAATTGCTGACGCTATGGCCTTTAAGGGCTCATGTTAACATGTGTTGAAATAAAGTTGTTGAACAGTAATCGTGTTTGAATAATAACTTTATTCACACTATTAAATCATTTCAGGTGCACAATTGTAAGTGAGCGTCTGCTAAAAAGCAATAAAGAATGACCTTCTCGTAAACATATCTTGTCAATGTGTTCATTGAAGCGTTGCACATGATGGTGTGTATCAGAGAGGACCGGCACAAAGCATGAAAGAAGCTGTGCCGCAATGGTCGGACAATACCAATTTACTCAGATTGCTCGCTCGTCAGCCAGTATTCTTCGTATTCCCTTAAATTATCAATGTTTTTAGAAGTGAAATGTACTCACAACCGCCATATAACAACCGCATTATTATTATGTAATCATATATTGGGGTACAGTACAGAGAATAAAATTAACTTATGAAATCAAAAATTATCATCTGCGAAACTTCGGTAAAATTTGATGTTCATAGCTGTTAGCCCAGTTAGAACCCTTTCGTACAGTTTTAACTAGGGTAATTCATTTGGCATCATCGACATGTTTAACTAAAATGACAAGTAGATCACTGTTTCTGAGGGTCCAAACGAGTTCATCCAATATGATATGTTTCCGTTTAATTAATACAGAAATGACTGTTAGCTTTGACGGCGGTTGGCGTCTGCTGGCTTAAACTTCATGATTGTGACATGAAAGCGGTTGAAGCGCTGATGAGAAAGCCGCTGAAGACACGTAATATCTGACGCTTTACATGGCAAAGCGAATAGTAGAAGAAAACTGTAAGCGGAATGAACAATAACTATCATTCTATTTGTATATGCAGCATCATAGCATCTCAAAACCACAGTCTATCAGCTATTGTCATTGTTAATATCCCAGCAGTTTTTAGCGATCACTTGATCAAATAGAACCTGATGATTCCATTTTCTTTGCTGCTTGAAAGGCAATACGTTATGGAAATTATTTAAGAAGAATGAGCAGATGCGACAGTGTGTCATGGTCGTTAACATCAGATTTTTTTTCATCATTGTTACTGCTGCCGGTATTATCGGGAACGTAAAGGACGACAGTACTATCAAACACCGAACGTCAGCAACAACGCCATAACCAACGTAATGTACCAATACGAAACAACAAAAGCAAACGATCGGTGGGATCAAAGCTATTGTTGCTGTAGTAGTTGCTAAGACGACCGGTGTATCTTTGTAGCTGTTTATACCCTAAGCTATCATAATGAACGGTTTGTTGCTTGACCATAATTATTCCGAAGACGCCGAAGTCGTTAGTGGCGACCTCGCGATTTGTGAAGACAACTTTCGTTGCTTTGTGCATCGATACCGCGAGTCATGCATTGACGGTGGTCCCTTTGCTGAAGTACGTGAACAGATGCGAAGAAAGCTAGGGAATAGGAAAAAAAATAGGAGCCTTATACAAATACACCCATGCTGAAACGTCCGTGAGTACCACATTCAGGTGACTACGTGTAATTACTGTTAGAGTTAATGATAGGGAGTCATTTGCTGAATACGACCTAGTAGAATTGTCGCACATCGATCCTATAAGCAACGCTCATAGACACCGTCGTTGACGTTATTTTATTTTACCTTTAAGCATCATCGGATCGAATTGTTACGCAACAATTACAAGTTATTTAGCCAATGTAATAGGCACTATTCATTAGTATTATCTTCAACAGTGGGAAGTCACGACGAATGAAACGATTGGCAAAAAGACATGTGGAGACAAGGAATTACCTTGTTCTTATGGTAGTGATGTTGATGAATTTCCAG